CGCCCGCCGCCTGGGCAAAGGCGGAGGTCGACTACCGCGACGCCGCCATCCTCGACCAGCCGCAGCTGCGCGCGAGCGGTGCCGTCGTCGACGTCGGCCTCGAGCCGCGGCCGGGCTGGACGCGGAAGGCGGGCAGTCTGCCGCTCGGCACCAGCGCGGCGGAGGCGCGCGAGCTGCTGAAGCCGCTCGCGGCGACGCCGGTGCTGAGGCTGCCGCACGCGCGCGGGCTCCTCTGCTCCATCGACGACGCCGCCGCTTTCAACTCGCTTGCCGACAAGCTGCTCCGCATCCCGACGTGGTGCGCGAAGTGCTTCCAGCCGTGCAGCAAGGAGCTCGCCGGGTGGCTGCCCGCCGAGGAGATCCGGCGCGGCGGGGGCTGGGACAAGATGTCCTACTGCATGAAGGTCGACGTGCCGCCCAAGTTCGACGCGGGCGGCGCGTGCTCGCTAAACGTGCAGCCGTGAGGGGATGACGGGTCTCTGGAGTTTCGTGTTGATCGGTGGGTTTCACTCGAGCGCTGTGGTGTGCACAGGGGTATGTGATGCACACGTGCTGTTCAGGCTTATCACCCATTTTTGACAGCAGTAAAGTGAGAGCCACACGACGGGAGAACGGCAGCGCGGCTACTCTCGACAAGGTGATAGGTGTCGACTCTCTCGAGCAGGCGCTACCGACGTCAGCGAGGGAGGGCGAGACGATCGAGGGGTCCCGTACCACGCGGAACCGACCCTATCCAGTGCTCAAGTGCTCAAGGGGCACTTGGAGGGGGGAACCCCTCGCGCCGGGAAACGAGAAAGGTTCGTTGGGCAAAAGAGCATCGCGTTGTGCGCATACCCAGTGGCAGCCATGATCGAACAGCCAAACGTGGCCCCACGCCGCGGCGCGCTGGCCGGGGTTCTCCTCGGCGCCTTGGCTCTATCTGCGCTCATCTCGAGCAGCGCCTTCGACGGCCGCCACGCCATGACGGGCTCGTACGACTCTCGGTGGCGCGCGAACGAACTAGAGGGAAGAGGCAACGCCGCGTACAACGAGCAGCCGGCGTACAACGGTCGGCCGGCGTACCGCAATGAGCGGCCGGCGTACCACCACGAGCCGCCAGCGTACCGCCAAGAGCACAAAGGCGGTGCCTTTGACTCTGAGTGGCGCGAGGACGCCGACTCTCGGTGGGACGAGGACGTCGACACGGCTGAAGCCGACTTCGACTCGGCCGAAGCTGACCTCGAGTCGGACGCCGACTCGGCGCACCACGATCTGCTGACGCACATGGCCAATGGCGCAGCCGAGATGCACGCCGCGGTCGCGGACGCCTTCGCCAACGAGACTGACTGCGTGCCCAAGCCGCTGAACGGCATTGCCCAGGGGATGCTCGACGAGCTTGTGCAGGGCGTGGTGGGGATGGTGCCCGACTCGGAGCTGGGGAGTAGCGTGAAGGCCAAGGTTACGGTTGCTTTCGTCACGACCGCCATCACCAACATCTCGATCAGCCTCCTCAAGGTGGCGCAGG